ATGACAGAGCATGCGCTGTTACGCAAAAACTGCGATAGAGTGAAGCCGCAGAAGTCGAAGCGCGAAGTGGCGAGGGTTCACTGTACCAGGGTCTTGAAGAAAATTCTATGGTCTTCTAAGTCAATTTCTGGCCCCCTCCCCCCCGCCCCAGCCCCTTTTTGAAACATATATATATATATTTTTTCCTCCCAGGAAGGTCTGGGGAAAAGGGAGGAAGACGGGTAGGACGGGCCACATCGGCTCTTCTGGCGATGCATTCAATGCCGTGGGGCCGCAAGGGCGGGTACTTACAAGCTAGCTACGTGGCTTCCAGCAGCTCTCTATGACAATGCCAATGACAGATGGAAAGTGGTCTGTGACTATGAAATCATCTTCATTTTAATGTATAATGTCAATGACATCTGGGGGTACTGTGGGGCTCCGACAAGCACGAGACATGATAGTAATGCCTTTACAGCGTGCTGGTCCGATCCTCTCTTATTCATTCAGCACATGTTCGCTGAGAACTACCCATGATGGTGGCCAGCCCTGTGTTACGTACTGGGTTAGAACAGTGAATAAGAATATCGAGGCCTGTCTTCACATTGTCTACACTTCCCTGAGGTCACTGTGGGGCGACAGATCCCTCGGTCTATGACTTCTGTCTTGTGTGAATCAAACATTTGAGCCAGCCTTTTGGGGGTATCTTTTATGCGAGTTATAGCCTACAAAGGGTATATGACCATGTAAATAATGCCAACTTCACATCCCCAGAGGAAGGCTGTCTTGGTGTATCCTATAACCTTTGAGTAACAGAATAGAGGGGTTAAGAGCTGCTAAAAGCCAAGCGGCCAATTTTTGAGAAACCCTGGTGCTACTTCGGGCTTACTTAGGAAGCACAGGGGCTTCCCTAGGAAGCATCCTAAACCTACTCCTATGATTTGTGATCTGGGGGTCACGGGCGCACCAACCCCAAGATCATCCCTGGAAGGAGAGAGAGCGCGGGCAGAAAAGCAATTAAAGTCAGACTCTCTCCATTAGGACTCAGAGAGGTCGGCAGGAAGTAGCATCAACAATGTCATATCAGAATTCAGATTGATTTCCTGTTCATAATGTTTCCAGTAGTAGTTCTCTATTTGCCACCATGCCGATGACTGTCACTGCTGGTTAAGGAGCGCGGCCTTCCTAACAGGGCAAAAGAGGAGAGAAACCGAGGGAGCAGCTTGGCTCCTTTGAGGCCCTGTGGATACTGAGATCGACAGAACAGTGAAGCCAGCGAGAGCGTCGGGATTCCTTTCATTCAGTTTCCTCACCTCTCCACGATCTGGCCTCGGGGAGATGGAGGTAGAATATTCCCCTCTGCTCCCAGGCACGGGAGCCCTGGTGGAACAGGTTGGGCATTGGGCTGAGATCTGAAAAGTGAGCAGTTCAAAACCACCAGCAGCTCCTCAGGAGAAAGATGGGGCTTTCTACTCCCATAGAGGTACAGTCTCGGAAACACTCAAGGGCAGTTCTACCCTGTCCTATAGAGTCACTAGGAGTCAGAATTCACACTAAGTACAAACAACCTGGGGTGTGCTAGACTTAGAAACCTAAGGGACGTTCCTGTTCTAACACTAACCTCATGGCTAGTCCTCGAAATTGACTGTTTTCAAATTCCATGAAAGCTTTCAAAACATATCATTGGGTATGCGTTAGCCCAGTAACTGCAAAGCGGGCAGTTCAACTCCACCAGCCGCTCTACAGGAGAAAGATACGACTGTTTGCTCCCTCGGAAACCTGCTGAGTCAGAACTGACTCGATGACACGGAGGTTTGGGGATTTTATACTCTATGAATATGATTTCCAGGCTTGGCTCTCTTATAAATACATATTGCTTTATAAACCAACCAACCCACTGCCATTTCGCCAATTCCAACTCACAATGACCATACAGGGCAGAGCAGAACTGCTCCGTGGGGTTTCTGAGATGATAAATCTTTATAGGAGCAGGCAGCTTTATGTTTCTCCGACAGTGTGGCTGGTGGGTTTGAACTGCCTACCTTGCACATAGTAGCCCAAGGCATAACCCACTGCGCCACAAGGGCTCCTTAGAATGTCTTCTAGCTAGAATTAATTCCCTTCCACAAGTGAATTACATAGGAAAGTTCCTATTTCATCTTCTTAAAAAGGAAAGTCCCCTCAGAATGCTCTTGTTGTCTCTACGTCTGCCTCACAGTGGATTGGAGTGGGGAAAAACAAACCTAAGGAGAAAACACCCATGGGCTGCCCATACATGATGGGGACGGTGGCACTTTGCCATCTCACAGACAGAAGAGATATCCATAGGTGCGGACCGATAGTGAATGTGTGTGTGTGTGTGTGTGTGTGTGTCCCATTGGCTCCTCTAGAATCCAAACTAATACATAACCTGGGGACCCAGGAGGTGCTAGGTAGCACCAAGTCAGGCCAACCAAAGGTTGTGAAGACACACAATCTGGCACTTGAGCCTGGCTTACTTGACCAGGAATTCTCTAGAAGAGGGCCATGACGTTCTTCAATGAGAACAGGGCAACAGCGTCCCATGTGTCAGAGACCCCATGGTTCCTCCTGTTCCACAGAGAGCAAAATGGCTAGAAGTGGTGGAGTTAAGACCAGCAGTCACCTCTGTTGACTTATACCCTGGTGCTCCTTCTGCGGCAAGCCGCCCTCTGTGGCACTGAAGCCACAATGAGCTTAGTGGAACGAGGGCCAGGGAGGACCATTTGCCTTTATCAACTCAAGCGATGAAAGAGAACACAAGGACAGAGATGCATGAGGTGATAAAGCTGTCTTCGAGAACCAGAGATTGACGAAGAATAGACTGGGTACTCACATGGCGAGGTGTCAACAAAGTTTGGGTCGATGTTATGCAGCAACTCCACTCTGGGGGATGGGCTTCCTTCACTAGAAAAGAAGTTTTTAGGTAATATTAATTTCCTCTCTCAAATGGGTACGAGTTATTTTAATACTTCCTCTCCTTGAAGGTGTAGGAAATAACAATCCTACCAGTTAACAACTTTGTCATGAATCCAGAGGTCTCCAAAATTTGTGGCTCGTCCACTTACAGGCATTCATCTTGCCTGCATTCAAACAATGTCTAAACATTTATAGAACGTCAGTGTCTAGCATGTGGTGGTCTTAAAAATATGTCTTATGACTCCTTGCCCTAAACAATGCACTGTATTTGAGCCACCAGAGAAATGAGAACCCAATTCATCCTGTGAAGACAGCTAGCTTCATACTGAATATTCACAAGGAAATGAGGACACGACATCTATTCAAAATAGCATTGATGTTATAGATGCAGTATGCCTTCGGCAGAGCAGCCTGCGCCAGGACTATTCCTGTCGTTTGTATCCACATTTATAGCATGGAACTTTTTATACAAATACATGTGAAATACCTAGATCTCATTAAGGTTTGTCTTCTTAAGTGGACATGTAAATATAATCACAACCCATGTTCGTGTGGAAAAGAAACTACAAGATGATTTAGCTCAACCTCCTACTGTTACAAATAAGGAAGAAATATGTGAGTTAGTGACAAAATTCTGGGTATATGACTTTCAGAAACACGTTCTTAAAAACTGGGACCATAACTACCATTAGATATATGTGAGGAACACAAGAAGTGCCCAGGACATTTTGATAGTAAAGGCTCAGCCTTGTGGGAGAAGTGTCTAAAGATATTCCGATCTCTGGAAGAATACTTCAGACTACTTGATAATTCAATACTACAAAGTTCTTTTAATATCAGAAAATTTGAAAACATCTGAATGACCAATAAGGCTCTTGATATAACAAGAAGAATGCTAGCAGGCATCCCCGTGTTCATCTGCCTAGTTTCTTCTAAAAGATCACACCACTCATTCACTTTTCCATCTGCCATGTCTATTTAGTGGGTATCATTAGGAGCTATGGATTTCAGGGTCTAATAAAATTTCAAAAAAATATCTCGGTTAATATTGGCAACTTTCTTTTTAACCAAGTAAGGAAATATTAAAACAAAAATAAATGAGTGGAAAAGTAACATTAGAAAACAATAAACCTTCAACTGTTCATTAAAAACATAATTCAATAAGCAAAAACAGGAAGGAGAGTATCTCAGAATAAATGCTAGTCCTTTCAATTGAATACATTTAGCTTTAGAATCTTATAAGGTTCCTGTCCCTGTCTCCTCCATAAAGCCCATTCCTTGAAGGGATTAGAAGGACAATACTTAGTGACCTCTAGCCCTGGGTACAGCAGGCGCAGCACTGGGGGAAGGGCGCATCTCTTTTCTCATGTTCTACCTGAGGGCATTTGTAATGCCAAATACCAGGAATTGGGATCTAGTGAAGAATAGACACAGAGCAGTTGCTGTCCTTTGATAGGAAGTGATGCCTAGAAACAGGAAAACTACTGTGGCATACAGAAGGAAAGCCAATAGACGACATCGTGATAGATGGAGAAAAGATTGAAGTTGTCAAAGACTCCATCTTGCTTGAATCCACAATCAATGCCCATGGAAGTAGTCCAGAAATCAAATGACATATTGCACTGGGTAAGTCTGCTGCACAAGATCTCTTTAAAAAGTTAAAAAGCGGTGATGTCACTTTGAGGAATACGGTGTGTTTGACCCAAGCCAAGGTATTTTCAATGGTTTCATATGCATGCAAAAGGTGGACAGCGCGTAAGGAGGACTGGAGGAAAGAATCCGTGCATTTGAGTTGCAGTGCTGGTGAAGCATATCAAAAGTACGGTGGCCTATCAGAAGAACCAGTAAATCTGGACGATGTACAGTCGGATGCTCCTTAGATGCTACATCCAAATTAAATCAAGTGCCTTACCCTATTCTGAACACTATATGGACTTCACAATGCTTTCGTTCATTTTTATGTTCTCTCCTGACTTCTTCATCATGATCATAAAAGATTTTAATTCTGTTTCCTTATTCTCAACACCACAAATTAGGTATCATTACAATCAACCTGAAAGTGGGTTAGATGTTCTCGTATTAGCCATTTTCTTTGTTCATCGTCTCAGAAGTTCTGGGGTTCCTTTCATTCTTCTTGAAATGTACTCTTCAGAACGTCTTTAGTGATGTTGTTTATAGCAAGGACTCCCATTTTTCATTTATCGGAAAACTGTATTTGTCTTTATTTTCCCTAGCTTTTTGAAGTAATCAGTTTTGCTGGCTATAAAATTCTAGGATGAAAAAAAATTATTTTCCTTCACATGAAAGCTGTCACTCTACTGTCCTCTAAGTTCTGTTATTATTACTGAGAATAATAATAATAAATATTATTTTTGTCAATATATTTGTCTCTTTTCTATCTGGTATTTTTTTCATATTTTCTCTTTGATATTTTGTGGGTTTCGATAGAATTGTGGTCATAATTTTGAAAAGGTGAATAAAGGACAGAGAGATTATTGCAGATTATTGGTTATTGCAGAGATGTGGCCTGGTGATGGGGACGCCTAATTCTCCAGGGGCCTGAATGATGTGCCCAGGAAGAACAAGGCCCGCTCTCTGCATGCAGGTATTGAATTTCGCCATAGCTCAGACACTGGACATGGTTTCTCAGCTTCCTGGGAAGGAGCACACAATACGGTATTAACATATTAACCTTCTCCTTCATACACCAAAGGAAAAGAAAGCTTAGGAAATAGCCACACCTTGTCAGTGTACTTTAAAACACTTAAGAATTACTCATGGTTTTAAAAACTCTTAAAAACTCACAAATCTTTGGTCAATTACGTTTGAATAGATTCTAATAATCATAGGAAAGTTCTTAATCCTGTATCAGGAGGGAAAAATGCTAGTGTTTCTATTCTGTTTTATACCTGTGCTCATGTTTGGGCCAACCTCTCCCTTGAGTTGGCTTACTCTGAACTCATTCCTACGCCTTGGAAATTTGTTGTCATCAAGAACCCCCACCCTCTCATGCACACTGTTATCCCTATATCTTAGCCCCGTGTTAAAAACAATAATGAACTTGACTTATCTTCATCTTCCCTTCACCATGAAATCTCTTCAAACAGTTTTTATACTAGTGCTTCTCCAACTTGCCTGCACCTTAGAGTGACCTTGAGAACTTTTGAAATCTAGCCACTGAGGCTGTACTTCATGGCAGTAAGATCTCTGCGCATGTTAAGCATTTCTTAACTCCTCAGGTGACTCCAATTTCCAAGCTTGCAAACCAATGCTTCAGAAGTTCAAGCTTTATTTTTTTGTTCATAACATTTTTTAAATTGTGGCAAAAATATTGAGTTAGTTAATTGTGCCAACCTGGCCGATAATCACATGTGGGGCTAATTGAAAGGTGGAGGGATAAATGGGTAGTGAGCTTCGCCTTTCTAGTTCTTGGGTCTCTTGCTTTGTGATGGTCGCACCAGGGTGCACCTGCCTCTGCAGTTCCCTGCTTCCGCTTGCAAGATTGACTTCCTACAAGACATCCCCAAGGAGAAGCCACATGGACCTATCCCGATGCAGCCCTGGGTGCTGGAGCTGCTGTGTGGAGACCCGTGCTAGTGCTGAGATGCTTATTCGTTCACTGACTCAGCTTTCCTCCTGCAGTCGGCATCATTGCCTCTGTTTTGTGAGGTGGAGGACTTTGTGGACTGGTGTTGGGTAAATGGGTTAATGTTGGACTTGTGGGCTTGGCCAGCATTGGGTTGGGATGTTTTCGTGATGCACACTTTATTTACATAAAACTCTCTTATCCACGAGTTGCTGTGGATTTGTTTCTCTAAAGTACCTAGACTAATACAAATATACACAAGGAAACATTTTCCAATTCAAAAACTTCTACGTGTATAATTCAGTGCCATTAACTATATTATTTGCGTTGTATAATCATTATTGATATTCTTTTCCAAATTATTCTACCACCATTAAAATGAACTCAAGGCCCCATAAGCAAAAATTCTTCCTCCTTCACCCATGGTAACCATTGGTCAAGTTTGGTTTCTTCTTATTTTTTTAAGCAGTTTTCTTGATAGAGTATTCACATATCATACACTTCCATAGTTAAATCACTTTTCAAAAGAGTTGTGTGTACAGCATCACAATCAGTTCTAATGCTCCCTTCCCCACTCCTGAATTCATTGCGATGCTCAAGCTTTAATGTACAGATTAATCACCTGAGGTTCTTGTTAAAAAATGCAGGTCCTGACTTACTAGCTTGGGGTAGGGGTTGAGATTCTACAAGTCTAATGGATACCCCGGTGACCCTAATTCTCCAGTTTGGGAACCACACTTTGAGAAGTGAGGCTTGAGGAAGGCTCCCAGACTTTTCCTTCAAGGGATTTAATCTGTAATTACCAATGCACTGTGATTCATGCTTGATCAGTTTCAGGTAGCAGGAGCTGGCAAACACTTTCCATTTCTTCGTCTTTGGCATTGGTGTTTGGTGTGTACACTTTAATTCTTTTCATAGTAACTTGTCTTCCTTAGAGGGCTGTGGATGTTACAGGATCACCGACAGTGTTGCACTTCAGGATAGACTTCAAAATGTTCTTTTTAATCATGGGTGCGACCTCTTCTTCTGCTTGCCATTCCTAGCAGAGCAGACCATCCGATTGTCTGATGCACGATGTCTAACACTAACCAGTTCAGCTCACTAGTACCTCGCTTATTAATCTTGTTATGTTCTATTTCATTCTGAGAGCGGATTCCAGAGCAATGGTTCTTGACCTTAGTTACACAGTGCAATCCCTGGGCATAGGAGGGGTGGGGTGGGAGAACTGATCCTTGAGCACCTTTCATTGAGATATAGTTGGTCTGGGATTCAGTTAGCCCTAAGATATTTTTTAAGTATAATTTACAAACCATACATTTACCTAATAAAGTGTGTAACCCTATGTTTAGTACATTCACAGAATTATACGACCAATGAACCCTTCACATTAGCTGTCTTTCCT